GCTGATTTTTGTATTTTTAGTAGAGACAAGGTTTCGCCATGTTGGCCAGGCTGGTCTTGAACTCCTGACCTCAGGTGATCCACCACCTCGGCCTCCCAAAGTGCTGGGATTACAGGTGTGAGCCATTGCACCCGGCCTGAGGAAGTCTTTTTAAACAGTTTTAAGTTATGGTGAACTGAAATGCCTTAACGATATAGAGTAATGTCAAAATATGGACTACCAGATCAGTCAGTTGTGGGTTCACATTCCACTCTGTCATGAGTGCTTTTAACCTTGGGAAAGCTAACTTACCCCTCTCTAAATCTCCAATCATTTTCTTATTGGTAAAAGGAGAGATAATAAGGTTATTTGTACTACAGACAGAGCTGAAGAGAGGATTATGAAATAGTGCATATAGTGAGATTAGCTTAATGCCTGGTCCAAAGAATGTAGACACTAAACATTAGCTGTTGGTATTACAGAGAGATGAAAATGACCCCTTGTAATCATTCCTTGACCTCAGTGACATTGATGTTACATCTACAGTGCACTAGGCTCTGGGAATGAAAATGTGGTGAGATCCTTGAAGTTTAGTGAGGAAGGAAAGCAAGGAGAGAGTAGCAGCTGTGTGTTAAGTGCTGTAACAGAACTACACACAACCCTCTACCGGAACAGAAAGGAAGGATTTCTAGAAAAGGCCTCTGGGAAAATGTCCAGGGAATATTTATAGAAACCCGAAGCCATCACATTGATTTACCTAAATGTGACTCAGGTTGTACATCAGCAGCTTTTTCAGATTCTATTATGACAAAATCATGCCCTCTTTATCACTGCAAGAACCATTACAGGTTTTCAAATATTAAATGAAAAATGCAAAAGGGAAGAGATAGAAGAACAGAATGTAAAATGTTAGTACATAATTTGTTTCTGTGAAAACAGAAATGAGAAAAGAGGTGAAGCAATGATAAATTATGCCTAAATATTCATGGATAAAGTAAACAACTAAATTTTTTTTTTTTTTTTGAGACAGAGAGTTGCTGTTGTGACCCGGGCTGGAGTGCAGTGGCACGATCTTGGCTCACTGCAACCTCTGCCTCCAGGTTCCAGTAATTCTCTTGCTTCAGCCTCCCAAGTGGCTGAGATTATAGGCACCCACCATCAAGCCCGGCTAATTTTTGTATTTTTAGTAGACACGGGGTTTCACCATGTTGGCCAAGCTAGTCTTGAACTCCTGACCTCAGGTGACCTGCCTACCTCAGCTTCCCAAAGTACTGGGAATACAGGTGTGAGCCATAGTGCTTGGCCAACTAAAATTTTTTAAAATGTGTTTATTTTGGCAATGAAGGATAGTCAGGAAATCCCATTTATGTTACAAATACAGTAGGAGTGAAAAATATAGGAACAGTTACAGCCAATAATGTTATTTTTAGAAAGAAAATAAAAATGAAAGAAATTGCTGAAGTATAATGCCTATGAATAGGGTGTCTGTTTTTTTTTTTTTTTTTTTTTTTTTTTGACAGAGCAGAGGTTGTCCTGTTGCTTAGGTCAGTGACATTACATAGGTCCCAAAGGAGCTGTTGAATACGGTAGCTGCCCATCAGCCACAAGATAAAAAATAATAAGCTAAGATGAATAGAAGTAATTCACCTTTGAAGACCTTTACATAAAAAAGGAGTTTGAAATGTCACACTAGAAGGACCATGCATCAGAATTGCGTCCGATCTTCAGGGGCTCATGTGAGATGCTAAGTAATTAGTTCAACCACTGTGTGTTGAAGCCCCACTACTGCTGGGGCTGGGCTGGGGCTGTAAAGCAGGGCTGCCCTGCTAGAGTGAGGTGGAGGGGAACAAGGAAATGGGTGTGATATTTACCATTGTAAAAGAAAAATAAAATCTCACGACCCCAAACCCACTATGCCAAAAGGAAAAGTTAAGCTTGGAAACTGAGTGTCACACACACACAACTGCCTTTCGTTTAGCTCATAAATAGATATCTCGCCAGGTGGCTCCCAGTACCCTGTGAATGTATATCAGCAGCTTATCTTCATGGGTGCCGGACAAGAGAAGACTAGATAGGAAATCATCCCTCTGCCCATGCCTAAAGGAATGCGTGTTTCACTTCTGCCTCTCCTTTATGTTTATTTATCTTATGTAAAAGGCCGATTCACTGAGCACCAGATGAATACATAATTGACTGTTCTAGCCCCTTCTTTTCATGTGCAAAAGAATGTAATCACCTGTCTCATTTATCTGCTCTCCCTTTTTTCTTTCTTTCCTCCCTTCCCTCCTGTCCCTTTAAATACTGAAGCATTCAAAACTCGCTTTGGAAAAAGTGCACAGATTTTACTATGGCTTGTGTCTCTTTTTTCCTGAGCATGTCCTCAACCTTGGCAAAATAAACCTCTAAATGGATTGAGACCTCTCTCACTCATCATAGAGGGAAGCACAGGGACATGCTGGACCCACAACGAAGGGGTCAAAAATAAACTCCTGGAAAAATAACACATTTTTTAAAAAGCTCTTCCCACATCCGTCCATTTATTAAATAGTAACTCTTTACTCACATGTAATGTGCCAGGCACCATATTTGCATCTGGAGAGAAAAAGATAAGGCATGGCCACTGCCCACGGACCTTAAAGTTTGGTTGACAAATCATGAATATACAGACTGTTAGAGATATGCTAGAAGCATGCCTGGGATGGGAGAGGACCCTGGAGTGAAAAGTTTTATGGTAGGAAAACACCAGATCCCCAGTGGGAATGCCCCCAGGCAACTCAAATTCACCAGCAACAGGGCTCAGGCAGTGAGAAGAGAGAAACAATTGGTTTTTGCCTCTTCTTCCAGTGTCACTGGGCGGCATGGCAACTTCACTATAAACCCCATTCACCAAGAGAAGCAGGGGAGCTTATCCAAGCACACGCAACTGAAAGACCAGTTTTTCCAAAAAAACACTTTGTCATCAAGTTATCAAATTTAACATGTTATTAAAAAAAGAAAAAGAACTTTGCTTGTCTTATTTATAAACGTATAGTGACTTGTCTCCAATGGAACAGTTTAAGTAGTTTTGGGGGATTGCTACAGTTTTCATTGACAAGGTTTTATTTTGTCTTTGTAGCAGCATTTAAAGAAGTCTTTAAGTGTTTTCAAAATGTATTCAAAATTCAAAAATCATCCCATAACCAAAAAATCAGTGTTTGCTTCCTAGAAGAAATGTTTAGTTTATACTGATTTTGTTCATGTCTTTTTGGTTTTGTCAACACTTTAGTATATTTGGTATTATTCTCTGAATTTCTCAAATTGGGGCTTTATATTCTAGGAATTTCCTTTATCAACCTAACTTTTCTAATGATTTAATAATTCATATTTACTGGTGATATGATTGATCCTGTAGCTTCCAGTTTATCACTTTACCAGTCTTTTCAGTATTTTTAGGATTTTTTAAGCCGTTAAAATGAAGCCTTTTATGACAGTTTTGGATTTACACTTGGTGAATATCAAACTTGAGGCACTGGTCATGAAAATCATTAGAATACAATCTTCTGGGCACCCTAACTTTCTTTTTCCTTCCTTGGCTTGTTTTATCCCATTTTTTGTTCTTGTTAGAATTATTTATTTATTTATTCATTTTATTTTATTTTTTGAGACAGAGCCTTGCTCTGTCGCCCAGGCTGGAGTGCAGTGGCACAATCTCCGGTCACTGCAACCTCCGACTCCCAGATTCAAGCGATTCTCCTGCCTCAGACTCCCAAGTATCTGGGACTACAGGTGCCTACCACCACACAGCTAAATTTTGTATTTTTAGCAGAGATGGAGTTTCATCATGTTGGCCAGGATGGTCTCCATCTCTTGACCTTATGATCTGCCCTCCGTGGCCTCCCAAAGTGCTGGGATTACAGGCGTGAACTATTGCACCTGGCCTCTTGTTAGGAATTTTAAATGTCCATAATTTCTTACAGAATAGTTTGGGGATATAACTAAATTTTCAGGTGCTTTTGAGTTTAAATTTTAAACCTTAAAAACAACCTCATTTGCTGTTGCTTGCCTAAAAACAGCCAGTTAAAATTTCATCCTTTTATCTAAGCTTTTACTATTAATGTGACTTTAATCTAATTTGATTTAATATAATTTAAAGTTTTAATTGCTGGAAGCTTAAAATTAGGGCTGATAAACTATTTAAGGAATTTGCAAAATAATATTAAGGATTGAAAAATAGGAAAGTGACATTTGAATCATTAAATAAAACAAGCTTTTGAATATTATTTAGTAAAAATTTAAAGTTAGATAAATTGGTCATTAAGAAAGTGAAATGCAGTAAATTGATCTCAAATCATTCTGTATATTTTGAAGATGTAATTTTGTTCTTAACCTACTGTCAGTTCTTTCTCTTGCTCTTCTGCTAGTGATTAAAGGGGATATTGTTTTTAGAAATAATTCTGTAAAATAAATGCTTATGTTCTATTTAAAAAGCAACATAAGCACTTATGTGTTTTGTGGTAGACTTCCCAAATACAAATATATCTAAGTCCTAATCTCCGGAACCTATGAATATTGCCTTATACAGCAAATGCATCTTTATAGACGTGATTAAATTAAAGACCTTGAGATGGAGAGATTATTCTGGATTATCCCAGTGGATCCAATGTCATCACCAGGTCCTTTGAAGAGGGACTCAGAAGCGTCAGAGAAGAAGACATAATGATGGAAGCAGAGATTGGAGTGGTGCTCTTTGAAGACAAAGAAGGAGACCACAAGCCAAGGAATACAGGCTGCCACTAGAAGAAATTGGAAGAGTCAAAGTAGTGGATTGTGCTCTCGGGCCTCTAGAAGGAGCCACCAGCCTTGGTGATCCCTTGACAATGAAACAGACAGAGGGTTTGTGACTTCCAGAACTATAAGAGAATAAATTTGTGTAGTTTTAAGCCACTAAGTTTGTGATAATTTGTCACAGCAGCAATAGAAAATGAATATAGGATGTTACTGATATGCCTTCTCATCTGGTTCTTCATCCTTTCCATGCACAGGGTTTTATAGCCAGGCCTACCAAGCATGTTGTTCTTCTCCGAGAAGACCAGAAAAGCTCTGCCCAGACATCTGAGACTGCAATTTCCATCCATCTCTTTCCTGGCTACCATATATCCACCTGGAACCAATGGGATAAACAACTGTACAGAGACTTTTTGTTTTTGATTTTAGTGTTGTTCTAAGAAGTTACCAAAATACGCCATGAAATTATCTCAATTAAGTTTACCCAAAAGCTACTATATACACTATTTTCATCCTGTCTATTCCCATCTCCAGCCATGTTTGGCTACATTTTCCCATAAAGCTCATCAGCTAGAATGTGCATGAGATAATAGTGCTAAATGGCTCAAACAGAATATGGTCAGGGTTACAGAAAGCACCCAATTTGCCTGCATGCATACACACCTGCAAAATTCAGCTCCACAGATTTTTTTCCTCTTTTGTTACCACTCCAGCAATCCCAAGAGACAGGCAGAAGTTGTCTAGCCCTAAAGGAGTCATGAGATTAAATGACATCCCCAAGATCTTAACAAGAGTGAAGGGTAAGTCAAGGACTCACATTCCCAACTAGCTCCAGCTTTGGACCTGTTGACTTGGAGCAGGCACGAACACACACAGGTGGAGCAGGTCATTTCAAGCAGTACTGTACTGCTACCAGAAGAAATTCAACACCCCCTGCTGGATCTAGCCTGAAGTGCCCTAGTTAAAACTTGATCCCCTTAGCTAAGGCTTGAATCCTTACAATGCAAATACCCTGAAGAGATGCTTCCCAGGGCATCCATGCTCCCTCCAATCCCAGCACCTATGCCTGTGGTCAGGAAGCCAGTTATTTCAGGACTCAGGTGAATGCTGCACCTGATCCTCCCCAGGCTTCTGGAAAAGTCCACAGTTCACAGTAATGACTGCCATCCTCTCAGTTAGTCAACAGCTGGCTCTTATCCAAGAACTGGCCACTGCACTGGAGATGAATTGACTGGGGATGCCTTAAAGCTTGAGATTTGGGAGGATATGTTGTGTTTGAATCCTGCCTAGAGGGACTTTCTAGATATAAGATACTGGAGAATCACAAGACCTGAGTCTCACTGGCGTCGAAAGGAGGGTGTCAAGATTTTTTATACCCAAAAAACCACCTTGGGAGTGGGGTTGAGGAGCAGGGATGGGGATGAAAAGGCTTCAGACATTCCGAGGGCTAGTGGATTCTGTAAATCATCTCCTGGGTGGAGACGAAGGCTCCGGATATTACATGGGCCAGGGGACTCTTGTCATTCCGTTTGTTACTTAAGTGGTTTACAGAAGTCAAGATAAACATTTGTTTACACATTTTCTGGATAAGGTGGAAATCACAGACCTTTGTTACTTATTACAAGTCGCAGGAGCCAAGATGGCGTGGGTTAGGACTGCTTGCCTGTCACATTAGGGCCACAGAGAGCAGTTACTGATAAGCAAAGTTTGAGCAGCTTTACATAGTGGGCATTTTTCAGAGCAAGCTAGCAGCTTGATTTACAGGAGCCAAACACAGCTTTATCTTATAAAATGGCATTGCTCAGGTTCTGGCTCTAGGTCAGCACAATATCACAAAACCACACCTTATTTAACACGAGGAAGTAGATGGTGGAGAGAGCTTATTCCTGTGAAAAGGGTGTAATCCTACTAACCTTAGGGTAGGTCACAGGCAAATCCACATGTGCTCTGGGACATAAAATTATGCACTAGTAAATATTGCACCAGACACCACAAAATCAAACCTGTAGAAATATAGTCATTGTGGGAAATTCTTTTTTTGGGAGTTCAAATTTTATTACACATTAGATTATATTACTTGTGTATGGCTTACATAGGAGATGACTCCCAAGTAGCTGGGACTACAGGCATGCGCCACCACACCCAGCTAATTTTTTTTTTAGAACTGGCTTTCCCCCATGTTGACTAGGCTGGTCTCAAACTCCTCAGCTCAAATGATCTTCTCACCTTGGTATCGCAAAGTGCTGAGATTACAGGTGCGAGCCACCGTGTGGCCAGGAGATAGATCTTATAATAAACAAAATATACAGATGTTAAAAGATACACTTAGGTACAATAAAATTTTAATGAGTTTATTCGAACATTTAGTGATTCATAAATCAGTCAGCACCAGACAAGAACCAGTTTGACATTCCACCTAGTGGGTGAGAGGGGAAACTTTTATGAGGTGTAGTGGAAAGTCCTAGTTAGAGATTAGTTGGTGGGTTTTCTGAGTTGTTAAACTTAAGTTTTCTTTTAGTTTTACATTAAATTTGGGCTTCAGTTTGCTTATGAAAGAACCTAAGTTACTGAGGCTATCTCAGACTAATGGTCTCCCAGTTAATTTATTTAACATAGGAAAGAGAGAGCAAGAAGGAGGAAAGAATAGGAAGGAAGGAAGAGAAAACCTTTGGGTGAATCAACCTCAAAGGCTTTTTTTAGTCTGAAGATCCCACAAGCAAATTCTGACAAGGAAAAGCATCAGAATTAATGAGCATGGGAGCGTTGTGGGAGGAGGAAGAGGAGGAGGGATGCTGGGTCATCCCCCCTCACAGTTAGGGGCCTGTAAAAAGAGAGGCAACTGCAGACCAGGCCAGCACTGAGCCAAGTACCAACTCTCTGCTGGGAGCCTTGCCAATGTGTGTCCCTGTGGCCACCACTCCCCACCCTCACATACCCACACACTGGCATTGGGTGTTTCCCAGCAAAAGCCCAGCGGGCCCAGAAGTCAGCCATGACAACACTGCCTTGTTCTGACTAGACTTGAGGGCTGAAGCCAGCAAGGTTCAAGGGATGTGGGTTTCCTGAGGTTTGACGAGGAACCCTGACAGTGTCTGTCTCTGTCACCTTGTTTGAAAAAAGAATTGTTCATCCCAGGCCACTGTCCAGCAAAACTGTATCAGTTTCCTCTCCTTCCATTTCCATCTACATGCTAGGGAGGGAGAGGCGTGCATTGTGAGCAGCCAGGGCTTGGATTTGGTCCTCCCTGCAGAGCCTGCTTCTTTCCTCTCCCTTTCCTTCTCCCAGAGTTCTCACCCACCTCCCACCCACCTCCTTAGGATCTGGTTCTCTAATAAAGCTAGTGGGATGTAAAAGCCAGGTCTCACGGAGGGCTATTTTGGCAAGCATACACCTATGCTTAGCAGGAGCTTCCCACAAATCACTAAAATAGTCAGACCTCACCTGGGTTAGAATGCCAGGAGGGTCCAATCAGAACTCCTAGCTCCACTACATGTAAGAAGAGTTAGACGACTTTTCTCCAAGACTCTGTTGCCTCATTTGTTAAATGGGCACGACAATGCCTCCTTCCCAGGGTTTTATGAGAACCAGGCAAGATAGTGCCATTGTGCTTTAGTTCAGTGTGTGGCACAAAAGGAGGACACTTCAAAGCAATAGTGGGAGTCAGGTGCAGTGGCTCATGCCTGTACTCCCAGCACTTTGGGAGGCAGAGGCGGTCGAATCACCTAAGGTCAGGAGTTCAAGACCAGCCTGGCCAACATGGTGAAATCTATGTCTACTAAAAATACAAAAATTAACCAAGTGTGGTGGTGTGCACCTGCAGTTCCAGCTACTGGGGAGGCTGAGACGGGAAAATTGCTTGAACTGGGAGGTGGAGGTTGCAGTGAGCCGACATTGCACTACTGCACTCCAGCCTGGGTGACAGAGTAAGATTCTGTCAGAAAAAAAAAAAAAAAAAAAAGCCGTAGTGAGCCAAACAAAGACATGGAAATGTGTAGTTTAAAACATATTCACAATAATAGAATCAGCAACACCAATAAAATATATAGCATTACAGCATTATTAATATTGTCCTCAAGTAGAAATTTTAGTCACTGAAGTAGAGGAAGTGGAAAACATATTTTAGTGCCTGTGGCATTTGGTCTCCAGCTATAAGTAAAACCTATCTTATTTCAAACTATCATATGTCTTCGGGTCTCTAAATAGTCCCAAAAGTGAAGAAAATGCAGTGTGTGTTTCCTGAAAGACACTACATTGTCCATATCGTCTTTTTCACAAATCAACTTGCTTAGGCCCTCATTGACTTATCAGTTTGTTATTTTGTTAGCAGAAAATATAATTTCTTTTTACAACTTGATCTTATTTCACAGTACTGTCCTAAGGAAATATAAAGACACTCATTGTATGAAAGAAAGATAAATAGCCATCCAGGGCAAAATAAGAAAGAGCGGAGGGACTCAAGTCAGGGCAAAGCAAAGAGATTGAAAGAGGAGTGAGGAGAGGGTAAGGGAATGAACAAGCAAAACTCTGGAAGCCAGCCAAGTCCCAGATGTGAACTCCTGGTGAGTCTGTCAATCCACAGAATGTGCCGCTTTATTTGCATTTCTACTTCTTCTTAAGGCAATGATGTATATTTCATTTCATCTTTTATTTGTTTATGATTTAATTATAGGAAGATGGGGAATCTAGCCAGGAAGGAAGAGTTATTCTTTCCCCCCAAGTGCTACATCTGTTAGAGGTTGCATATAAGTGAATTAATTGCCAAAAATATCTTAGGGGGAAGGCACATATTTACTCTTCATTTTAGTTACCAGCAATTGCCAGGGCCTCATTCTAACATCCTATCCTTGTTATTAAAAAACAAGGACTTACCAGTAAAGGGTGCCAACACCTAAACAATGAAGAGATGGTTTAATCAAAAAGAATTCTTCTTCTACTCCCAAATATCATTGATTCCACAATGTAGGAGTCTACTTATGACTGCTCAAGTCACACACAGACACATGCTTGTGCACACACCAACAAATACACTGCCGTAGCTCAGGAAACAATTACTCTACTGCTGCTGAATTGTTAAACATTGAATAAATACACAGGTGATTTAGTACTTTTAATGAAAAGGCAATTTATCCAACAAATATATTTTGTTAAGCCCTCTGTGTTTTACGTAATAGAGAAATTCCCTAGGAACATAGAGAGGAATATTTCTTACTTTCAAGAAAATTCCAGGGACAGCTTATCATAAAGAGCTACAATGAAAGTGTAACAGGTCAAGAAGTATTAGTAAGTGCACTGGTACTAACTGGCTTGCGTGCTGTCTTTCTTTCTCCTTTTATAGTCAAAGAGAATTTTCCAACAGCCAGCCCCACCACCCTCCTACCTACATTTTCCACCTTCTTCCTTTCTCAAGAAAATTCTCTCTTCCCCAGTTATTTTAGCTTTTGTAATACCAACTGAGGGAAGGGGTGAGGGGAGGTAAGAGACTGAAGAGG